CCGATACCTCGTCAAAGAAGAAGACAGATACAAAGCAGCAATGGCGCTCCAAGTGGCCAACGTATGGACGCGCGCAATGTTCAGCCAACAGATGGGGATAAATGAGTTGCCCCAATCATGCGCCTATTTCTCCGCCGTCGACATTGACCACGTCTTGCGGAAGGAAGTGGACATGGACTGCATCACGCCCAGTAACAAGGAGAAGATACCGCATGGTGAGAGTCTGGACATCATGGCATTGTTGGAGAAGGGCGAGGAGGCACGGCTTGATCCCGCTTTCGTGCCCAGCGAAGCCGACATGCCAGCGCCAGAGAAGTACACTCATGCCTTTACTCCGCGAACGCCGATCATGTCCACCCTTTCACGCGGCGATGCAGTCGGCGACCCAACAGCAATGGCGTACCTCAAAGCGCAAATCTCCTCCTCCGACCAAGAACTCCGCGACATCCTCCGACCCCTCCGCGCAACGCCCGCACCGCGCAGCAGCAGCGCTAGCAAGACGAAGAGCAAGAGTGGAAGCACAGCCGGCAACGAAGTCTCAGATATCGAACAAGAGAACCGCGAGATCCAGAAGGAGATCAAGCAGTTTGAAAAAATGACCAAGCAATCGAGCGCTCATGACCCCTGGCGCGAGGTCTACAAGCGTGCGAATGCGAGCACGAAGGCCAAAGGCAAAGCTGGGACTGGAAGCGAGTGGTGGCCGAATGGTGGTTATGGTTATGGGCAGCATCCGAGGAGTTCGGTTAGGAGTGCGAGGGTGTAAGGAAAAAGAGATGGACATGGAGTGTATGTTACGTTTCTTGTACGCTTTTTGTATATTGTATGTACAGCAAAACTTCATGTACGGGATGTATAAAGGGTTAGGTGGGCGGCGCGACGTTTTGATTACTTGCATAGGTTCGGCGCATCGTTCCTTCCACAAATGAACATCTGGTTTAGCGTTCTTCCGATTCCGTCCCTATGCCGCAGTCGCGTGACCGAGAGGGGTATAAATATCCGTCTTCTGCGCCGTTCTGCTTCTCTTCTTCATCATACCTTCCAATCTTTGATTATCAAAAGCCCTGTTCTTTCAAGTCATGGCTTCGCCGGCCTGGCTTTTCCAAAATCACCAACAACTTCGGCAATGTGCTCGCTCTTCCTTCCGCTTTCGACATCGACATCGAAAACCAAGAATCAAGAATTTCATGGTTTCTGGTTCTGGTCTTCCAAAAGCTGCATTCAGGAAGTTGATGTGCTGTCTTGTCCTTGCCGCCGCCACTACCAAAATTCAACATGATTGTGCAAATGACTCCTGCTCCTGGCCTTTCCCTAAAATCCACCCATTCGAATCCATGTGTCCGCCTGTCTTTGCGCTCTCAGCTTTTCAACATCTAAACTACCATTAGACGAGCTGATGGCTTCCTTCCTGCTGGCCCTTCCCGAACGTCCAGCATTTCCATTTGATGTGTCGCCTTCTTGCGCGGTCTCAACTTCCAAAACTGGAGGCCTGACGACGACATGAGTTCAACCACCTGTCGTTCCGAAAAATAGAGGAGGGCCAGGAGTATGCTGGCATCAACACGCGCTTTTAACATTAAAACTAGGATGTCCTTTCAGGTACACATATATTTCTGGCTTTCCAAAATCGCAATGGAACGTTTCTATGTGTTCGCCTCGGGCTGCAGTGCAAATGTTTCAAGAAGCCGTCACTACACTTGTATGTTCTACGCTTCTTGACTACCGAAAGCGCATCCTGCGAAAAGGCGATGTAGATGTCTTAGCTAGCGCCCGAGAAGCCTATATGTTCTTGCTCGCGACCGAAGGGAGGGACTATATCTCATCTATATTCGAGAATTACCAAAACGTTCATCGAGAATTTCGATGTTCTCGTTCTTCTCCAAAACTCCCGTACGGACTTGTCATGTTTCTTGCGCTGTCCGCCGCGGCAAGCGCAGCGCAGCAAGAAACCATCTGAATTGCTATTAAAGCAGCTCTGTTCGGAACACCCTATATCATCACCGCAGCGGACGAAGAATGCCCTTGGTTCTCTTCCTGTTTCCTGAAACGCCAAAAAGAACAAGATCAAAATTTCATGAAGTTGGCGTCCTTCTCTCGGTCTCCAAAACGTGGTCTTCGACCGTCTTATGCATGTGCAGCTCTGCTGTGGCTTGATCCTCGTCTATAAAGTCAGCTTGATCAACGACTATGGTATTGTCTTCCATAACAGCGCCAGGAGCTCAGTATGGCACTCTAACTCGATGATTCCCCAACTACATATACTGGAGCAGAGAGCCCGACACTGCTACAGCATCTTCCACACTTGATGAATATCCAAATCCGACTATGGTCATTACTATGAGCTGGCTTCGCGCGGTCTTTCGAAAAATAGTTTTCGACTTCCTATGATTGCGACTCTCTGCACCTCTCGCAGTATTCTCTCGATATCAAAACGACACGGTAATGGCATTATGGCGTTCGATTGTTGAGGCATTTAGCTTCTCGTCGCTATGTGAGAGACGAACTCCCAATCATTCTCCATCTTCGGGGAATATTACCAAGAACGATTAAATAGAACATAATAGAGTTATTTCTCCTGTCTCTGCCTCTCAAAACATGAGCGAGACCTTTTGATGTGTCTGGGCCACTCATTTGAGGTCTTCATAACATCAAAAGAGCTTCTCGAACCTCCAATGGCGTCTTCCCGCCGAGCTGTCTATTCTTTCCACAATACGAAGCACGAGTAAACATAGAATCTCGCATTGTATGGAGATTTACCGAAGTTAGAAGCCAAAGAAGTCATGGAGTTGGGCCTCTTGTGTGAGCCCTTTCAAACATGCCGAAGCAGCTTTCCATGTTGCAAGACACTCTCGTATCACCGTGTACTCTCAAATCGCAACAGCAAATATTAATGCGGTGCGAAACTTTGATCTTTTGATGCGTTCGACTTCCCTTTTCCTTCCGCCTGACGAAGACATCGCAGATTGCGGCAAGCCGGTGGACGCACGAGATGAGACGGACACAAACAGAGTAGTGAGACGCTCCTTCCCTTTCACTCAATGATGTCACGGGTCGTGAAAATCTCTTCACGCGCCTGCCTGGACCTATATAATCGCTAGCGTGACTACTACGAGTGTTTGTTGTTCGCACCTTCCTGATTATCACCCGCTCGCCTTTCCCGTCTTCTTCCAGTCGCCCAGCTCATCGCCGACATCGACGCAAGAATCAAGATGGACGCCGCTTTCGAAACACCCTTTGACGAATGGGAGGAGAAGGCCCAAGACCAGGTGAGAACCCCCATACTGAGCTGAGAGAGACCTAGAACTGACAGGCTTCACTCATCTAGATTGATCACTCCAGATACAGCAAGCTCGCTTTGAGGCTCGACGAAGATGGATGGCTGCCTCTAGTCCGCGCCGCGTACGATGACGAGAAGCTCACCGACAACAATTTCGCCAAGCGCTGCAGCCTCGAAGATTGGATCAATGTTTCCGATGACGCCTTGTCTACCGTCGAACCCGCGATACTCAAAGCCATTTGTTCCGGAGACGTGAACGCCACTGTCAAAGGCGATAGCAACCTACGCAAAGTCATCCAGTCGTACGAAGACCGCGCCGACAGCCAAGCGAAGATTTTTCTGCGACAGATGACGGTTGGTGTGGGACAAGAGGCACTTTCCGTCACTCACGCACGCAACCTTGCTTTGGTCGCCATGCAGTACGCGAACCAGGATAATTCAGACAGCGCTGCGGACATGGCGTATGAGATCGACAAGAAGGCGCTTGATGGAGACTGGCATATCCGCTACACCATCAGCGGACGGCGCTACTTCATCGAGGGCAGCAAAGGCGACGTCGATGTCGGAAAGAAGCGCGTGCTGCAAGGCTTTTCCTGCGCGTTGACTCGTCTCGCCGACCAGACCGAGAAGGACAATAAGGCCTATATTCCTTTCCTACAGTTTGTCGGCTACGCAAGCAAAGGCCATCAAGATAGGTCGCAACACGGGGACACCTTCACTGGAACGAGTTCGCTGCTTGCCTTCACCAAATGCTGTCTTGAGACCTGGAAGAACTTCAACCCGGTCGAGATGCATGACTTCACTATCTGTCTGATCCCCGATGACACCGAGGGTCCTGTCGCCTATATGCTTCTTGCCCGCCTTGCGCGCGCATACTACTTCGCTGGCGGCCTCAGCATCGGTCAAGCAGCAGGCAGTATGTTGAGCCTCAGCCTGAGCAAGTTCAAGCCCCAGGAACGCGGAAGTGTGTGGATGGCGAACACCCAATGGGTCAAAGACTACGCCAACTACGATAAAACTTTGGAGAAAGAGGTAGCTTCCCGTACAAAGCTGCAGAAGGCCGAGTACGAGGCCGGCATGAGCGCAGATATGGAAGAAAGCACCGACTTCAAGACAAGGCTCCAGAGCATGCGTGAAGCCGTTGAGGAGATTAGAGAAGAGCACCGGCTACTAGACGATTGGCAGGAGTTTGAGGAGAATTTCCCGGATGAGTACCAGGAGTTCAAGGAGTTGGAGAAGTTCGCTATGGAGATGACGAAGGCGCTCGCTGAGGTTGCGACATCATGATTACTGATACCTGCCTTTTGTTTGCATTGTATGGTTTGATATATTTGAAGTAGTAGGTAATCTGGAATGGTCATTCAAAGAATAGCGTGGCTGCACTAGCTAGCTTGTCCGTACTTCAACTCTTTTCTTTCACAACACATGTACCCCAGCTCAAGTTATTCTGTTTCGAATCTTAGATCTTGGTCAGCTGCGGTGATAGGGAGACGTCGTCTGTGTCTGAATATACATATCTGTGAGGTGCGATCTGTAGTTGATCACTGTCTCTTTCACTCAAAGGTTACACGCTTGGACAGTTTCGCGAGCGCGAAAATCTCTTCGCGCGCACCTGCCTGGACTTACATAGTCGGTACCCAAACCAGCTCAATTTCACACTTCCCCTCTCACATCTTCATCCATATCTCTCTACGCCTGAACTCGCGACCTATCGGGTCCAAGAATAATGGTGGGTTGCACGGACATTCTCGTTGCCCATGTGCGCACCCTTGCCCACCCGAACAGGCAGGTGCACCAAGCGGCTGCGCAGCCCTACCAACCTACCGACGTCGAGAAGAACCACGAAGAGGAACTCGATCAACAGACCGCTCTCACCAAGCGTCACGCCGACGAGTACGCGGACGAGAAGCAATCTCGTGTTCTTCTACTACAAGCCGCCGCATTTCGTCACAAGCTCAGGGATGTTGAGGCCAAACACGCCGCAGACCTCAGGGACGTGGAGATCAAGCACACCACAGACCTCAAGGACATGGAGACCAAGCACACCGCAGGCCTCAAAGCAGCTCTGGAGAAGCAGAGACGGGAGTTCGAGATCAAACACGAGGATCTTAAGCGCAAAAATGAGGCTGACCTCGGAGAAGCACACAACAAGTGAGTGATGATGATGATCGGTATCACTAGATTACTAACAGTGTCGCAGGTCGAGCGAAGAGCTCGCGAAACAGAAGAGTGTTCATCAGGCGATCGTAAAAAGACTCGGGGTCACTCTTCAAAGCGCTCTCGGCGGAGTTGCTGAGCGCAAGGGTAAATGGTTTCGACCAGCTAAGAAGAATGTCAACTCCGAGATGGACGGCCTGGTCTTCACCATTGGAACTATGACAGAACTGTTGGATCGTATAATGGCACTTCTGATCGAGGTGAGCCAGCAGCTTGAATTGGGCGAGGACTATCCCGGAGAAGAGTTCATGCTAGCCCGAGTGCTCGGCTCCATGAGGAGACGCATACTTGCCTCAGAGAAACTAGAAATGGGTCTACACCACCAGATCGACCGACGAGTGCCCGACATCCTTGAAACAGCGTTGCCCTCATCTACAAGCATCGAGCTCAAGCTCGACCTATTGTTCGACCGTGTCAACGCTGCTGTTCGCGATCAGAAAAGTGCGGCGCATGATCAGCAAAATGCGGCAGTTGCTGCTCTTGAGGGGGTCTTAGACGCCTACCTCCAAGATGCATGCACTAGTTTGGACCACCCCAAACTCTACGACGGCAGTACACAACAACGAGTCAAGACATTTCTGGAGACATTTGTCGCTCAGTATCGCAAAGACCAGGATGTCTGTAGAGTGCTCTTAGATGAGCTTCGCATTTCCGCGAGCAACAATTCTATGAGCATTTCTAGACATTCTCAACGATTCGACATATGCTTGCGTTCTTACATCGACGCCGTTGACGCTAGGCTTGGTATGTCCCCTCGTCTCAGGTATGACGCACTCTCATCGTAGACAGGGAGCAACTTTGGCTAGTTACGCGGTTGTTCGAGCAGCTTGACATGTCTGCGTAGCCTTTGGGGTTTGCATTGGGCGAAGACGGCGGCGACGGTGACGACAGCGTAGAACACAGAAAAGACGCAGTTGAGAAAAGCATAATGTCAGGAGGAAAGTAGGTAACTCACGATGAATACATCAGATCAACAATCTGGCAGTGCATCGACATTTGACTACGTGCTGCGTGTTCATGCCCCCCAGTTACAGTACATTTTATCAGATTGCGCGAGTGTTCAGAAGATCTTTGCGTACCTTCCTGGAATCGCTGGCGTGACAGCCACACGTGTTTGCTGCTCACCTGCCTTACACGTTTCCCACGTCTCTGACCCTACCTTGGTCCGCCGCCCTTGTCGCACACCCCACCTCACCACATACCAAAACGCGCAACACGATGTCGACAGCGGCACAAGATACTGCCCCGCTTCGGCTACGAAAGATTCTATACCAGTTCGTCCAAGACGCGTTTGTCGCTGCGGGAGTCTCCACAGACAACTGGCCTCACACTTACGAGGATGACGATGCAGTCAACGTCGTGACCGTGGAAGGGTTCATCGCCGAGCGTCTGGGCGCTTTCCAGCGAGGGATCGAGCAGCAGCGTCAAGAGGCCAGAGAGGAGGGTGACCAGTCCATTCGGGAAGGAAGTGAAGCAATGAATGCGCTAGTCAAGCGTGTTGGTGGAGGCGAAGCAGGGTGCGTCCCTACTAAGAGAGAGTACGCTGCCTGGATGACAACACGCCGGATCGTCATCGAGGAAGGAATCAACAATCTCGAAAAGACTGCCGACGACGCCGTCAGCGCGTGCAAGCGGACAACTTCGGCCGTCGATGATGTATTCCAGGACCTATTCGACGCGAACAAAGTCAATAAGCCGGAATGGAAGATCAGCAAGGCAATCCACAAGGTCACGAATTTGGAGGAGATCGAAGCAGCCGACAACGCGGTTGCATTCTTCCGGTCGCTGCCCGCCAAGTTGGCGCTGGGTATAGTCGGCCAGGAAAACGATTCCCTACGTCTGAGAAATGAAGTGCTACAGCTCAAGCTCGACCAAAACCGCATCATCTCAGGTCACACGGACTTCGTTCGACGCGTGTACGAGGATATGGGACTAGATGTGAGTCAGTGGAGGCTCCCTACACAAGACGATGATGCGGTTGTCTTCCAATCTTGGCTTCAGCAACGACAGGTCGAAATTGCCAGCAGGTGGAAGGCAGAGATCAAGGCTCGTGAAGAGGCTGTTGAGGACTTTCAGCACTACAACTACGGCGTGCTCATCCAATGGATAGGACACAAGTTCTGGGACCGCATACAAGGATTGCAATTGCTACTCGACAAAGACGCCAAACTGGAGCCACTCGATATTGACGAGACATTTTCTTCGTGGGAAGTCAACAGGAAGAATATCAAGGTGATGTCAGAGTGGCTTGATGACGCTGGCGTCTGGCTTGAGAACATCATCCGAGAGAGATCTTCCGATGCGATGATCATCCTTAATCAGCTACGGAAATGGCGGGCCGCAGCTAAAGACGCGGGCGATCGGATGAAGGATATGCGACGCACTATCGCAATGGCGAAGAGGGCTGTATTCAGGCAGGATAAGACTATCGCTCAGCTTCGTACGGCTTCCACGTGATTGGCCCACGTTTGTTCCCACAGGACACGAGTAAATAGCCCTGAGTAACAAACCTACATCGATAGTACACTAACACGCAGGGAAGCAGTCGAAAGTCGATGTTGACGAACCTTCGCTCTCAAAAGACCAAGTAGAGCGGCAGCAGAGAAAATCGGCATCCTGTTCAGACCCGTCTCGAGACCATGAAACCAGATATGATCTTGTGCATGTGAGAGCCTTCCATCTCGATATTCTATTCTCTTCCACTACACCCTATCTACCCGATTTAATTTACCATAATGTCAAATTCTTTTCTATGACAATCTTCTCGAGCCTCGCTCTTCCTTCAAAACGCCTCGAAAGCTTCAACGAACCGCGTTATGTCCGCCTCTGTCCGCCTTACCAAAAACAGATAGTGGAAGCGGTCATGAGACAGAGTACTGAAGCTCTTGACACGGGTCGAAATCTACGAGTGGAGAGCTCATGGAGAGTTTGGGCGTTCTGCCAAAACAAAGTTGATGCACACTCATGTCTGCGGCTTCTGTGTCTTTATTGCACCTGGCAAACTTAATCAAAGATGTTCAACGCCCTGAACTATGTGCGGACCTTGAAGTGAACGTTCGTTGCATCAAGAACTCTTCGCATGACGAGCTTTACCGTTAACACTCCTCTCTTTCTTCCAAAAGCCGACACGGACGGGCTTGTGCAACTCCCTGGATAGCCTTCGCGAGTATAAAACCTTCGCTCTCCATGCAACGTTCTCTCTTCACCTCCACAGCAAAACTACGCTTTACAAAAAGAGCCGTTCGAATCGGACATGTCTCTGCCTTCCGCGCCTTCGTCTCCAAGTCCGATCCAACTAAAAAGTCCCAACGTGTACTAAATGTGCGAAGTACGTCGCGGAACCTGTACAAAAGATTTCAGTAAAAAGACATGTCTTCCTTGCGCGAGCTCAGACACTGTTATCAAAACTCGCATCCTGATGAAGCTATGGCAGTACCGTCCAAGCGTGCGGATATTTAAAGCGCACGCGGTTCTCACAGGCTTCCCTTTTATCCACACAATACCCAGGTTGTTTACCAAAAAGAGAAGCCAGTGAACCTATGTCTGCGTTCTCCGCGCCTTCGTCGCAAATCTAGATCCATTCAAAAGCACGAAACTTACACATTATGTAGCAACGCAGGTCTTGAGGTTTTGTTCAAAGTCAACGCGCAGTACTTCATGCGTTCGTTGCGCGCTCTCGCGATTGCTTTATCAAAAACGCAACAGGCATGTGTATGACAGCGCTGCTCCGGAGCGCGGGTATATAAACCCAACACCATCCTCACGTTCCTTTCTGCTTACCCATTTAACGCGAACGGTTTCACCAAAAACCGGTTTGAGAGGGTATTATGTCTGCGTTCTCTGCGGCTTTGTCGCTAGCCTGACTACCAAACAATCGGATCATCAGCTATATGTGGCCGAGTCGAAGCTCGGCTTTTGTTCAAAGTACTCACGTTGACATACATGTCTTTGGAAACGCTGCTCGGCTCTTAGTGTCAGATATGGACGGGTTGGTTTCATAGCGGTGCTGTCCAGAATTGTGGGTATATAAACTTCGCTCATTGCCAGCTCTTCGTGCCTCCATCACTTCACTTCTAGAGTGCATTCCCCGAAAAAAGTTGTTGTATGGTACATGAACTGCGTCAGCCTTCTGTCTCTTCAAGATGCAATCCAAAATGAGCGAAAGCCAAAATCCATGGTGTTGCTCGACCGCTGCACGTCCTGACGGATCGTGTTGTCGCAAAACCGAAATGCTTGACCGAGCTATGTATGTCCTTCTCTTTTTTCGCGGCACTTCTCATGATCGGAGATGGTAGAAAAACCTTGGTAGTTTCGTTTGCCTTCAAAGCGAAGTCCAAGCAATTGATGCGTAAAAGTCCTGTCCAAAAGGACATGTCCAGTGCGGTGTGGCAGCAAAACGGCGATGGCGAGCGACCAAAACAATATTTCGCCAAGGCGATGATGTGCAGGTGCGAACAAAAAGGCGACCTGGTGCAGTCAGGGGCGGGACGCCTTCTGAGACAGTCTTCAAAAGAAAGTTCCAAGAATGTTATACGTGCGTGTGGTGAAGCTCGCACTGCGAGGTGTAGCGATGCGCGATTCCAAAAATCACCTGGCGGGAATGATGCGAAGAAAGAGCCCTGAAGCTCAAGTTGCATTGAAGCGCAAAGTCGAACGCCGTCGACCATTATACAAGTCCCTGGCCGCAGCCCCAAAAGTCAAACCAGACATATCCATGCCATGCCAGCATCCAGCCAAAAGAAAAGAAGACACGATCTATATGCCGCAAACCAAACACGCGCACGCAAATGCCATGCTATGTTACAAGCGGTCTATACGTCTATGCCAAAGAGCATTCACAAGTATAGGTAATGACCGTCATCGTCGGACCGATCGCTCGTCGACGAAGAAGAGGAAGAAGGTGTCGGGGGTATCGCAGAAGTTTGTAATTCGTAATCGTCATCGCCTAAACGATGAGTAGCTTCTCAACGTTCTCGCCCGCGCTGCGCTCGCTCATGCGGTTCCAGGCAGCGTAGGTGAGGACACCGCAGGCAGCCCACATGACGGGGACGGCGGCTTCGGCGCCAGCTGAAACACACGTTAGTACTATTACTTCATTTTTGATGCTTCCTTTTCATGACGTACTTGGGCGCTCGGCCTGCGCGGCCATCTCCATGACGCGTGCTGCGCTGCTGGTCGAGCTGGAGGAGTTGGCGCGGATGGTGGCGGGTGCGATGCGCTTGCCGGCAAAGGCAGCGGTTATGGGGACGCGGGTGGCGATACGTGCGAACATGTTGTTAATGTAGTTGAGGTTTGAGGATTAATTATCGAGGAAACCGAGTTTATGTAGCGACAAGTGGCGACGTGAGTAATCTTTGTGGACACGTATAAACAAACGATTGCAGTCGTCGTCAAGTGAGTCCTCTTGAATACGGAGAAAGTGAACGTGCGTGGTTTCGAGTGAATCCGGGGAAAGAGGACACAGACACGGAACACGGTTTATATAAAGAAAGTGGGCCTGGGGAAGGAGTTGACAGGGCTGAAGGGAAAGGAGGCGAGGCCGGAGATGACGCGAGCAGAAAATTTAGGGGCGGTGAGCGATCCGTGCAGGGATGTGCCAGGTCGAGATAGGCTTGGCCGCCAGCACGTGAGTGGGTCGGGTGCGGAAATAGCAAATGTGAAGTCTGGGGTAGCTGTCACTTTTAATGAAGGAATGGCCCTTGCATCACGCGCCTGGACCTATGACGAGATGTCTTGAAGATGATGCATTGAACGTATCGCGATTAAATGCGACTGGAGATGAGGCTCTCAAGCTCCGGCCGGCTCTATCTCGCAAAGAGCCGCAAAAGACCCTGCTTTGAGATCGGCACTGCGGCGCATCCCCGGCCTTCTAGACGAATCTACCGAGAATTAACCTGTCCTCGCCACCCCCAGTCTCAACAACGATTCAACAACATTTCCGGATCGCGGTCTTTCGCTTGGTGTGCATGGCAACATTCTGTTGTCATCTCACCATTTTCGACACATCCGCTAGCGCATATAGGAAGAATATCACGCATGCGAACGGGTGTTTGGCCTATCAATTCATGCTGGAAGTCATTGTTGTGCTACACGAATGATCGCGCATGGAGACTTGCCAGCACCATTGCAGATAAGCTAGCTACATTGAAACACATATGACCCGTTTCCAACACCATCCCAAGCAGACCCATCAAGCCGTAGCTCACATATTCTTCCACAGAAAGTCCTCGACCTTCTTGCCTTCGCATACCTTCGCAACCGTGTCCCGCAGTAGGATCACTGGCGGCATGTTTTTGATCACCTTCTTAAACTTCTTGTTGTAGCCAACCTCACCCTTCTTCCTCTCCATATCGTGGGCATCGACAAGGCCCCCGATAATTCTCATAGTCATTCGAACACATTTGAGGGCATAGTCGATGCTGACGTTTGGACTAGTCTTGCTTGGAATGTGGAGATCCAAAGAACTATCATTGTATATTGCCGGTGGCCAGGCCGCTAATCCAAGTTCTTTGAAGCGCGCGATGATTGCGAGCAGTATCTCCTGGCAAAGACGAAGGACTGCAAAGCAGTTCACTCGGGTTGGTGGGAACGCACCCTCATACTCGGGCCTGATCGCCTCTTGTGCACGGCGGATGGTTTGTGATGGCAGGAATTCCACGAAGACCTCGTCGTAGAATTTGTACTTCCGAGTGATTTTGGGGTCGCCTGTGATCCTAGCCCAGAACTCTTCGCCGGGCATGTAAAGTTGGCCGAAGCTCTCTGCCGATGAGAGGTGCATTGTAGACACATTGATCTTGGAGGTCTTGCCAGGATTGTCGCGAGAATTCTTCGGTGGAGCTTGATTGAGTACTCTGATACCTTTATCTTGGTAGACCTTCGCTCCACCAACGAAGAGTTCGAAGATGTCTGCAAAACGTCTTTGCGGCTCCTGCTTGCCTGCAAAGACCACTGGCTTGAACAGGGACTGTAGCTCTTCAAGTATGGGAATCCGTGCGCAGCCAACCTCAACCTGCTGCAACATGTTGTACATGTGTATCACGGCGCCGAAGCAGTCACCCTCATTGAGTAGCTCGAGGCCCACAAAGAGCGTCCAATCGGAAATAGCGGCCATCTGGCTTCCTGTGACCCAAGGGGATTGAGAATAGGCATCGAACGTCTTGTCCGAAAGAAGGAAGCCAAGCTGAAGGTCGAGGAGCCTGATGAAATTGATGGATGTTGATCGATACGCAAGGTTTGGCCCGTTCTCATCGATCAGATGCAATATCGCGCTCCTAACTTCGTTGGCGCGGCTTAAGACTGTTATCCGGCAATTCGGTGGCGGTTTTGCTATCTTCTCGGATTCGTGGAGGAAGCTACGCCCACTCTCAAGAAGCATATGTGCTGCCACTAGGATTGGTAGGTCTATGTTTGCCTGCTTCAACTCCGCCAGAAGGGGAATGGTCGAGGGGTGCTGTATGTGGAAACCGACGAGGGATTCCAGACGGTCATTGACTTCATCCTGTAGGAATCGTGGTTGGTATTCTTCGAAAGCGGAATGTCGGGAGACGCTCTTGACCATGGATGCAAGCAAGTCTCGGTCGTGGGCATAGCGATCACTGCAAACACTCACTACCTTCCGTGCGCTTGGTCTATCCGACAGCTGGGATCTGTCACTTGCAAGCTGAGTGACTGAGCCCGCGAAGGCTTCCTTAACTTCTCGCTCTTGGGATGCAGTTCGAAAGAAACACTCGAAACGACGACGCTCCTTCTCAGCAGGTTTTGGAGGCTGCTCTGCCGCACGCAAGGTTTGCAGAAGCTGAAACGGCCAGATCAAGCCAGATCCATGTGTGAACTCGGCAAACGATGAGGATATGGCGACATTGCTGAAGTCGACCGATGCCAAATCCTCCAATGTGACCCCGGGATGTAGGCCACCGCATTTGTCAAGGTCACCGCAAGACTCGTCGAGTGTCATCCCGCAAAACAATGAGCCCTCCAACGAGAAGGGGTCGATCTTACCAGGACTCATGAATCTCACGAAATTTTGCGCCAGGTTCGTCAGCCAGCCCGCCTCTGTTAATGATATATCGCCCGCCGCGAAAGACCTCCATATGCTCTTTACGGTCTCGACGATAGCTTGGAGTTCACCCAAATACGCCTGTCTAGCGATTGAGCTCTCGATCGGGTCCTCTGCGATAGCGGAACGCCTGGGATTAGGCGCAGGCGCGTCATTTCCCCAATACTCGGATGCGGAAAAGGTGAAATCCTCTTCTTGCTCTATCAGTCCGGCGAGAGCCTCGAAGGTATTCGCAGAAGTCGTGACTGGGGAATCAGGCAGCTTCTCCGGCGTAATTTTGCGACCCTTGTTAGTCCGCTTCGTCCTCGGAAACAGCAGCCTGTACGCCTCAGCCAACGTCTCGTTAAAGACTCTATGGCGTTCAGTAGAGTCTTGGACTTCTTGACCCGATGATGGCAATGTCTCGTAATGCTTGGTCATTTTGTTTCGGTTCATTATGACCATCTTGAAAGCTGTCTCGATACCCTTTGGTGGCCTCTTTCCCATGCTCGCTGCCTGACGAGCGCGATCCGCAATTTGACGTACAGTCATCTCTTGCAGTGATGGATTACCATGCTGCTCTGATAAGGGAATTGAGTTTGCACCAGCTGCGTTGTCGAAGGAGTGAAGCCAGCCGATTACGATCGACGTCTCGTGTTTGTATGTTCGGTAGATGCTGAACAAAGTCGGGGGGAGCGGTCCAGGCGTTTTCGTGGGGGAAGACGTCGCCATTCTAAGGCGGCGCTTGCTGTGAGTTGATGCGCTGTGATGCGGCAATGGTTCGATGCTTGAGTGTAGGCGGATTGCGAATGTAGGGGGTTCTACGGTATTCTATGCTGCGATCGTGTCAAGGGGCAGAGGAAAGGGGTTTTATCTCGTGTGGGAGAGTAGAAGAAACTTGTTAGGCCACGACATTGTTAATTTTGGTGGTATATGTGGCTTGTGAGATGCACAATCGGCCGTTGGATGGACATGTTACCAAAGTATCAAAGATCGCACCCGTGGTACGGTAATGTTGCTGCCTGATGCACAAACTAAGCTCCAGGCGCACAAGATGAAAAAACGCACTGTTCGATACGGCATTGTTATTTTTGTAATGCGCTTTCATTTCGTAGAGCGGGCGACATTTAAACAGTTTGCTGCTGTCGTAAGCAGTGGGTGCAGCGCTGCATTCGAAGTGGTGGGTATCGACGGCGGAGCTAAGCAGTCCTCACAAGCATGGCGACTCGGGTCACAGCCGAGCGAATGATGCAGGTGGCATTGCGATGCGTTCAAATGAGCCATGGCTTTCCGTAAGGACACATTCGCGATTGAAGAAAGCAGGCAGCGACGCGACCTCACAATTGAACGCGTCGGGCGCTAGCCCAAGAAGGATGGGATGACGCCATGACCCGGTCAGCCAATCGGTGAGCGGCGCACGAGCACGGACGCCATCACGAATTGGCAAGCAACACGAAGCGGAGCTTGCGCGGAGCTTCAAGGCTTCACCCACGCACGACTACAGCTTCAAGCGCGCACAATGCATTGGTGTTGACTGGCTTATTCGATCACTGTGACCCTTATTCGCTCATCGATCGCGGCGCTCCCGCTATGCCATTGCCTCACCAACAGAGCGCGGGCGACAGCCATCGAACCACCATCCGAAGACTGGCATCGCCTAGTCGTGCGAGATTGAACGCGACAACAACTCGGTGAATGTTGTTCGAGAATGTCTCTCTCAGACAACACCGAAAGTGCGCACGATATCGACATCTGACTGGGACTGCGCGCAAAGATTCGAGTGAGCAAGTGCACGATGATAGAGGAGATATTGTTTCGATGAGCTCATTTGATCTTGCAAGCTGACACTGGACTACTCGCTACAACACCACATCCAAACCTCAAACATCCTTCCACAGAAAGTCCTGCAACTTCACGTCCCCGCAGATTTGGACAACCGCATCGCGCAGTATAACCAACCCCTTGTCTTCCTGAACGCCCCGCCTCGACCCAAAAGTGTGGTAAAACTTATTGCTGTCGACCCCCCACCTGACCATCTGCAAGAAAAGCATGGAGGCGCTCACGTGGTTCCGTCTTAGATCAAGATGATCTGGATGGTCTTTGGTGTCTTCCATGTATTGTTCAAGGTAGTCTGGCAAACCCCCTGGCTTGGCGATCTGACATGCGACCTCCTTCCAGACATCCATGACGAGGCCTGCCACGGCAAAGTAGTTGATCTTTGCTAACGGAAAAGGGCCCTCGAACTCCGGCATGACGTGGTCTTTTGCGCGTAAGATGATTTCAGAGGGTGTGTAGCGCATTAAGATCTCGGGCTTGAAATCGTGCTTTTTGGCTAAATATCGTTCGTCGGTGATCCTGGCCAGGAACTTGGGGCTCGTGGAATATTGATACCATATGCACTCCTTAGCAAAACATGAGAGCTCGAACGGTTTGATCCTGGCTTCCTTCCCGTAAGGCTCGGTCGTTGTTGTTCCTTTGGCTCTGTAAAACTTATTTTCGCCCTTGCACATTGGCATGCGATTGGTAGTACGGGCCATCAAGTCAAACTTGCTCGTAGGCCGTCCTTCCGAATATGGGAAGATCGCAGAGCCGAGAAGATCACAAAGGTGATCAAGTATAGGTATTTGAACGCATAGAACCCCAAGCTGCCGAAGCATGTTGTACAGATGCAGCAAATCGGAGGCATATCCATGCTGATTGAGAAGCTCGAGACCGAGATCCATGTTGCGTGACATTATGGTTGCCATGTAGCTTCCCGTCACCCATGGCGACTGTGTGTACAAGTCGAAAGACTTCTCGGAAGCGATGTTTTGGAACTGCTGGATAGTAGAGTATGCACCTTTGGACCATGCATCCGTATACAGCCAACCAGCCTTGACCGGATCCGAAACAGAGGTCTTCAGCAGTTCATCCAAAGCGGTTCGAGCGTTGCGGGCCAAAGACAGGACCCGGATCCTGTTGTTTGTATGCGATCGCGTCTGAGCGATGGCTGATGGAGCAAAGCTACGACAGCTTTCTAGCAACATATGTGTGCCCATGACTAGGCTAGTCATCAGCCCACCATCAGGCTCCTGATAAGCCTTGAGGTTCCACAGAAGCGGGACGGCTATGGGGAATTGAAGAGGGTTGTCACCCCACGCCGTCCATTGAGGCTCGTCTTCATGTTTGGGAAACACACGATAGTCCCACAACGGACTCTGGCAAACGCTTCGGTATAGGGATTGCACCATCTCCTGATCTTGTTTGTATCGTGCGTCTGAAATTTCCAAGAGCTTCCGGTAGTGTTCTTGGACAGTATCAGCTCCCTCGGTGGGAAGATATCGTTGAATTGAATCAACAAAGTCATGCTTCACACTGCGCTGGTCCGGTTGGGCTTTGAAGTAGTCTTCAAATTTGCAGCGCTCTACAACGCCAAGCGACTCGTCTTTTGCTATGGCACGATCGAAGAATCTGCGGATCTCGGTGCTCGGCCAGACAAGACCATGGCCGTGGGTAAACTCCAGGAAGACTTCTTGCTCGCTCAACTCTCTAAGTCCGACAGGATCCTCTAACGACATGGATACATATCCTTCTCTTTGACCTTTTGGCTGGGCTTTTGAGAAAAATCCGCCCAGAGTTTTCTCATGGTCGTCATGGGCTGGACCCTGCGCATGAATCCAGCTAATGAGATAATAATGTGCCATATTCGTGAGCCACCCTGCCACAGCCAGAGGGATCTCACCATCAGCGGCAGAATCCCAAAATCCCCGTATGGTCTGGATGGTTGTTTGAAGCTCCAGGACGTATGTATGCAGCGCTAAAGCGTCACTAACAGAATCGTCAGAGATCGTCAATACAGCAGGAGTAGACGATGTCACCTCTTGCCAAAAAGCTGAGGCGCAAGCATCAAAGTCGGACTCCTCCTCGACAAGATGACTAAGCGCGTCGAACGTATTGGCAGAGAAGACAGTCCTGCGGGGCGCAGCTTTGGCGAAGGGTTTCTTCGGCTGACGCTCCTGCGTGATCGGAGGAAAAAGAATGCTGTAAGCCTTGGCGAGAGTGTCGTTAAAAACTTTATGGCGCAAAGTCGATGCGGCAGTCTCCGCAGATGCTGCAGGCAGAGTATCGTAGTATTTGGTGAGCCTGTTGCGGTTGACGAGAACCATCCTAAACGCGTCGTGAACGGTAGGCGGGGGGATGAGTTTGCATTTTGACGCCATCTCCGCTCGTTCCAAAAGTTGCTTGATGGTAAGGGTATTCGATGCGAGTGGTGGTGTTGTAGGCTTGATCGTGGCGGATGCTTTGTCAAATGTAGTGAGCCACTCCAACACCACGGAGGTTCCGCGCTTGTACGTCTGGTATACGGCAAAGAGGCTTGACGGTAGCCGATCGTTGCTGGTACGAGTTGATGTAGCCATCTTGATGTCATAAAAATGCGCGATGTTGACGAAACGATATTGTGTGATGTTGACGGAATGATAGTGTGTGATATTGATGAATTGGTAGTGTGTGATGAAGACGGAATGTTAGTATGTTAGAATGCGAAAGGTTACCTTTTTATTCTACACCAAGTGCGCTAGATCAGAAACTTTCGTCTGGGTACTGTCGCGTGGATCCCGTAAAGCATGAAGCTGGTTGGCACGACCATGGTCCTCGTGCTGAGTCACTCCTCGAAGCATAGCTAAGCAGAGAGCAATGAGAGGCCAAATCTTGCGCACGGCATTGCTGCCCGCTGGTCACGGAAGAAGTACCTTGGTGTGTGAGATTGGTGATGTTTAGAGGCTGCGAGGAGGAGACATTCCACGCTATGCGCGTACAACTAGACACAATAAACTGGTGTAGGCGCCTCGCTGGGGCTTGATTATGTGGGTAGAACAGAAGCCGCCTTGAGACTGCGAGGAGAAGACATCTCATCCAATGCGCACACAACTAAACACAACAAGCCATTGTAGGCGCCTGACTGAAGCATGATGTCGCACGTCGATCAAAAACCGCCGGGTGCGAGGAGAAGACATCTCACTCAAAGCGTGCAAAGCCTGACAGAATAAACCAACGTAGGCGCCTCGCTGAAGCGTGGTTTCCCACGTCGATCAAAAACCGCGTTGAGGCTGCGGGGAGAAGACATCTCACTCGAAGCGCGCAAGACTCGATACAACGAACCATTGTAGGCGCCTCGCTGCAGGAATATTGCGGGAGCGATACCATCAGTGCAAGAGCCGAGGTGATGACTGGATGCAGCATCTGAGCCATCCGTGGAACGAAGATGACTCCCCGACCGCGCTAGCCTGCATGCGGACCACCACACAGCGACTGCCATCAACGATGGGCGATGGCAGTAGGTAATGCGCAAATCTAATGGGCGTGATGAGTGTGATGGGTATTGGCGAAAGGGAATAATCGGGGTTGTGCTGTGCGAAGGAGCGGATCGAAGTGCGCGCATGCCTGCAGGCGTCATCGACAAGAGGGAAGCACAGTAATCGCCATCGCGACTGCCGAATATCAGCGAAAAGCCGCCATGATTCATGGAAGACATGAATGCGACGACGGCGATAGATGACTTGCGAGGGTGCGCTGCGCGTGTGCGAGGATGCATCTCAGGGTCTTCGTACTCCGGCAGACGTCATCGGGGGAAGCACAGACACCATGGAGGAAGGCGCGCCTGTGGACTAACGTTCTATGGAGTAAATTAATATCTAACATACTCATTAGCTGCTTGCCCGCATGCTTATCAGAGAAAGCGTACCTATACACAAACTCCGCCCAATGCTTAGGCAGTCGAAATACCGGTCCAACACTCAATGCAGAGGTCCCAGTCCCTTTCTAAACCCCATTCCCTATCCCGACCCAAACCCCATCTTCCTTCTCATTACAACATCCCCTCATCCCTCATTATGACTTCCCACCCTTCCGTTGCTTAACCCTCGACCCAATACTGTCACTTCCACTCGCTTGCAACCCCGCGCCACTCGCCGGCGTACTCGGCGCCTCCTCAATCCTGTCCAAATCCTTCTCGACCTCCACATCCTCCTTGATCAGCTTCTCCTTCTCCTCCGTCTCCTCATCCGTCGGCGCGTACTCGCTACGGTCATCATCCGCATCCTTGTACACGACAAAGCGGTATGCGATCCTGCAGATGAAGAACCACCAGAAGAGGTTGACGGCCTGCAGCGAGGCGAGGAGGGCGAAGGTGATGTATTGCGAAATCCAGCACTTGTACTGTTGAGTTTCCCAGTTGAGCTCGAACGGACCGACGGTTTTGAAGGTGGTCAGAATGGAGTAGATGATTTTGAGGTTGATGTAGTGGCGCGTGTAGCCCCAGATGACCATAAAGACGAAGAAGTAGGGGCCGACGATGGGGGAGTCGATGTAGTTTAGGCATTTGGATGTCTGGACAAGTTAGTAAACCAATCTTGATGTTGGGGAGAATTTCGACTTACAGCCAAGAAGAAATCCGAAACATCATGCGTGATGTACACCGCAATCCCCATGTACGTAAAATGAAACCGGTAGCTCAACCAGATCAAGCTCACAGTAATAACATGATGCGCAACCAACTCTTTAAAGTCCTTCCGCGGCTTCTCCAGCATAAGCAACAGCACAATCGCCTGCTGCGCCCAGTAACTCGCTTGAAGGAGATAGTACGCCTTGACAACGGCCTCGTGTGTGCGATGCGGGAAACCCTCATACATCCCAATAGGATTGAAGTACCACACCGGCGTGCGACTCATGATCCAGATGCCAAAGGGCCCGTACAGCGCAAAGTACAGCGCCGTGTACGCCTGCTCCATGAACCTGCTCTGTTTATCCCTGTTCTTGATCCCAAGCTTTACCGCAATCGGGCGGATGAGGCGCTGCATGCAGAACTCGCGCGTGAAGCTCAGCACGATGATGTAGAAGCCGACGAAAGCAAAGTCGCGCCCGCCCTTGCCGTAGTGAACTGGGCCATTGGGATCCGCGCGGACGTGTTCGGGGATGAGCGGGTCGTCGCGTGCGAGCGGATACGACAGGAAGAGACAGGCGGACAGCGGGTTTGATTCGTACGGGTAGACGAGGTAGAGGAACACGATTGTGAGGCCGAGGATGAGCGGGAGCAGCCAGGTATGGCGGATGCATTGGCGCTTGAATTTGGAGAGGTAGCGGCGTGTTGTTCGTCGTTTGGAGCGGCGGGCGGATTTCTCTGGTTTCTACAGGGTCTTGTCAGCGCGTGCCCTGCATACCCTGGATGAGGGTCAAAAAAGCACTCACCGAGTCCATGCTCGTCGGGCTGTTCAGCGGCGGGGTGCTCGTGCGGTGTGTAGCCAACGCTGGGACGTCGACATCGCCAGGTACATCAGAACCCAGCGCACTAGACTTTCTTCTCCGCCTGGCTGCGCCGTTCGTTGCTGTATTGTGTGGCAGTGCGCCGTTGAGGGGAGGAAACGGTTCCGTCATTGTGAGGTTGAGGAGAAGCGGAACGCGGAAGACGGGTCGGTAGTCGCAATATGTTGTATGTTGTCAGAGAGAAACAAAACACCTCCCAGACGACGTAGAAGAAGCTCCGAAGAAGAGCCTGCAGCAGGAGATATAAAGCGGCTGAGATATAAAAGCGGATGCGTTGCTTCTCCTTTCTCTGGCTTTCCCGAGGCTCGCCGCAAGTCAGGTCTCGCTGGCTTGACGTCCCAAGCAATTTCCGACCGGTGGAGTGGAGCCCTTGGCTTTCCGTAGCGCGTCGATCTGCTGTGAGCGAATGCCAGGGGTACGTCTTATGTCAGCGGCGTACTCGCTTAAAACTACTGTTTAGAGATGCTGGAGATCCCAATGCGACTGAATGCGATGTGGACGACGGTGCAAGATGCTTTTGGACCCTGATGGAGGTGCGGCTCGGGTACCTTCCGCGTTCCGACAGAAAGACAGCAGGAGCGTGCGTCACAGGTGCATGGAACAAGCAATTGGATGCGCGTTATAGGACGAGCAGATACCCGGACCAAAAGCAACGGTACTCTCGAAGCGTATGTTGCGAATTATTGGTGTCTACATCTACATGGCTGCACGCACTCACCAAATCAGTTAGATCAGACATGTCATACCGATGAACATGAATTCCCGCTTATGTCGCTATGCTGCAGGTCTTAGTCTGCTCCCTGCATGACCATGTGCTTGAGTAGGCGCGCCATTTGCTTTTATCTCCAATCTCTTCCCCGCAATCTCAAGATTCTTCTTCAATTCAGTTGTCGGTGTGCCAACGCTGCTCGCTGTGACGGTGCTGTCCATGCTTCCTTTTCTGGAGAGTACACCATCCTGCCGCAACAAGCCTTTGATACCACCCGCCTTCCGCGCTGGAAGTTCGCCCTTTCCAGCGGTAGCGACGTAAAGTAGGTATTTCAGATTCGGTAATGTGTGACGGATGTCGACGGGGCGCAGGCCGAGAGAGTTGGAAAGTATTTCGATGTTCTTGTTGAGGAGGAAGACACCGTACTCGAAGCGATACCTGACAACATTCTTCATGTAGAGAGGGTAAGTGCGTTGAGGGTTCTGATTGGCCTGCGTGACGGCGAGTGGGTCGTCGATAGTCGATGTCGAGCCGTGGGGTGATATTGGATACGGTAGTATGACGGAGAGATAGGGCGAAAGTGAGTTGACGACTTGCGCCACGTAGCCTAATGCTGCGGAGGTGACGTCTGGATTTATCTCGTCGAAATTGGAGTTGGGTAAGAGAAGGCCTCGTATCGTGAAGGCGAGTGCTTTGCCTGGGACAGGCTCGATGGGGAATATCCCAAGAAGATCTTCGCACACCCTTCGCCGTTGGCCAGTGATGTCCTCGCCAGCTTTCTCTATGAGTTCCTTACTCTCAGTGCACTTTGCTCTCTCTCCAGTTAGCGCAGACTCGGCTTGTGTTTGCAGTTCTCGTCCGGCCTGCATCTTCTCTCGTCGATATTTGATGTTGGCTTGAAGCTCGTCCCGCCTCCTCCTCAATGCCACCACTCTCCGCTTCTCAGCAGTCACCGCAGCCTGAACGGTCCGCAGACTTTCCTCCGTCTCGGGGACTGCCTCGACCGTGCAGATATCATCCTTGTTCGCCGCAAGTATGCCCTCAATCTCGTCGGCGATCCGATCCCGCGTCGTCAGCGCATCCTGGATGCAGTCGTCTAGTGTCGATAATCGCATCAGCGCATCGTATGACGAAGAAGTCAGTGCCTTCCCATCTGGGTTGTTCTTCGGCGGTGCGAGAAGTTCAGGGCGCATTCGCTCCTCTACCGGCAGATCCGTAAAGCTGGTGTAGATTCCGTCCGTCATGTGGAAGAGTATGCAGTTCTGTGGGAGTGGGTGTCTGAAGCTTCCAAGCGTCCTGCCTATGAACTGCAGCGACCTGAACTGTACTGTGTAGTCCATGAGGTACTGCCAATCCTGCATCGTCTCGCTCTTTGCCCACACCCTCACAGTAAGCTTGTCGAGTCGCGTGACACCAGGGCCACAGGGTCCGAGGTCGAAAAACTTGAAGTTTGGGTTCATTGCCTTCTCCGCGACCTCGGAGATGTATACCGGGTCGTCCTGGTCCTCCACATGCAAGCTGAAGAAGGTATCCGCCATGCGCCCTGCGGTAATGTCTTCCAGCTTCTTCTGGCGGAACAGCGGAGTCGCATTGGTCCATTCCATAGTCGAACGCCGTCGCAGTCCCCTTCCATATCCGGGTCTGGTCGCCGTGTTCGGGGTAGGTTCGCGCAAGCCGCCATTGCTGCGCCGCGTGTCCTCGGGAGAAGTGAGGTCGCTCGAAGATCGCGAGTGCGCCAGGCCTCTGCTCTCTCTCAGAGCCAGCGCCTTGGTGGGCGACTTGAGCGTACTCGGTATAGCTTCATCGTCGATGGTCCGCCCGCGCGACTTTGGGGGAGATAAGCTAAGCGTGAGGTTGCGGATGGTGATGCCTTGGAGATGTCTGAGCTTGCGATTCTGGCAGACTATCAGCGACTACAAGCCTTGTATTCTCGACGCGCATACATATGCAAGCAGCCACGGGCGCTCACGTGGTGGAGACTTGGGCTCGGCTGCCTGGGACTCGCCGGCCATTACGTCGCTGATCTGGTGGGTAGGCAGGGGAGGGACGGGAAAAACTTTGGGCGAACTCTCATCGAGGCATTGCTATAAGTTAGATCAATCGCCCGAGCAATCGCAATGACGCAGCGCATAGTAAAGCTTGGAAGCTTGCTGGGTGAACGCGTGTTTGGAGTTCCCAGCTGTCGTATTGGATCAAGCGGACCTCCGCGGCCTGGCCCGTGCTTTTTGAGACTCGCAACTTTCATCCACCACCATCGCCGGCGGCCATTGGCATCACCACCCCCAAGCCATGCCTCGAACTCTTGCCCGGCTGCGGTACAAGCCGCCACTACAGCCCATTTCTCTCGCCAGTCCCACCGTCGCCAGCCGCGTCACCCCTCAGCATGTCGCGCATATGCAAAAGCAGATAGCCGCATATGTTGAAAGGCAGTCGAATCCGCAGCATCTCCGCCTGCAGACCGTCGTAAACGAAAAGGCGAGACGACAAGCTACCGCTCAGCATGTGATCTCACCGGTCAAGCCCTACACTCTTCGTGACGTCGTGGACCCGGAAGGCACTGCCAAGCACGGCGAAATCATCTACATTTTCCGCAACACCAAGTCGAACCAGATCATCTACTCGTTGCAGGAACTCTTGGATGTATGAAGAATACACAATTTATCACTTCCAATGCTAATTTGTAGAACCACCACCTCGAACAACTCCCCTTCATTGGCAAGCACTCGAAGCCACCCGCCCTACGTCCTGACGAATGGGTCCCCCACTGCGTCCTCACCTTCCCGACCCCCAGCCAAGGCCAGAATGCTTTCCGCAAGCTACGCGAATTCCGCAGACTGCACGAGACTGCCTGGGACAAGACGAACCCCGAGTTCAAGCGCATGGACAAGAAGACGAGGGTCAAGAAGATCATGGACCAGCGCGCCAATACCAGCGCCGACTTGGCGGAAGTGTTGCGGATACAAGAGGCGCATGGAGCCAAGACGGCGGAAGAGCAGGCAGAGCAGGAGAAGAAAGTATCGACTTTCCTCGACAAGCGCTGGGAGCAGATTGACGCCCTGGCGAATGCGGGGCAAGCCAAGGCGAAGCCCACGGATAACGTCAAGTGGCTGCAGGGCCAAATACGGTCCATGGACCACAAGCTGAAGATGAAGCATCACCAGAACGAGGCCGATCAAAAGAGCATAAAGGCTGCCAAGGAGAGCCTCGAAACCCGCCTGGGGAAGCTGCAATACGCTCTGCGAAAAGCGGAGCAATTCAAGAACCTGCAAGAAGATCTCACCAAGAAAGCGGCGCCCGCCAACGAGCTCGGTGCTGAGACGAAGTTGTATGAACTGAAAATCCAGGCCCGCACCCTGCAGGAGGCGCTCGACAACCCCGATCCTACACGTTCCGAGGCAGACCTTGAGCTGGATCGTGAGATTCTCGCAGGTCACCGCGCTGAAATCACCACCCTCGAGCAGGCTTTCGAAGCGAAAGCCCAGGCTGGAACCCGCGACCACTACATTGCCCGTTCCGTCCTGCCCAAAGCACTCAAGACACCTCCCATCAAGCCCTACACACTGGAAGGTGTGAGCGTGCGGTGGGCCGACATCCAAGACGCCCTCTACGCAGCCGGCAAGTGGCCCGCAGCCATCGAACACGAGCCTCTGGAGATCAACAAGGCGCGCGGCGAGACGTTGATGCTTTCTGCCGAGGAGTACGAGGTTGAGAAGCAGAATGAGGTTGGAAGGATTATGGATACGCTGAACCTGAGGGAGGGCGAGTATCTGGAGGAGAAGGACGGGTTGAAGAGCTCGTTTGATAGCCCGGCACTTAAGAGTGGGATTGCCATGTCGATACCGCGGGATGCTTTTAAGAGCGCGACGGTGTAGGATGGGGTGTATAGTATGTAACAAAGTATCTTGTACATGTACCTTTGGATGCTCACACATGCCAGCTTGTCTGTGAGATGCTGACGTTCAAAAACGTACTGATGTAGTTACTGCTGCGAGCTCCGTGGCTTCCGTTGTGTATTCCCTACCACATCTCGAGAACGGTGTTCTGGGGACGACTGCGTAGTTGTGACCGCCTGATATGGTGTGCGAGCTGGTTGTAAGATGCAATGTCCATAAGCCCTACAACACCTTCAACCGCACCATGATCTTCGGCGTACGCGCCCTCTGGGAGCCTGGGCCTCTTGCTAGGCCTCTCGTCACCCACTTTAGCCTTGCCTGCTTCTGTCGCTCCTCTCGCCTGTTTCTCCTCTTCTTGTCGCATCGCTGCTGCATCCATCTCTCTGAATCGCGTGTAGGGAATATACGGTACCATGCCAAACTGCGGAACGTGTGGCGGGGTCTCCACCTCGGCTCCCTTTGCGGTTCGTAACGCGGCCATGATCTTGTCTATGACCCTCAGCTTCCGCAGTGCACCAGTGTTGATGATTGCGTCCGAGAAGCTGTTAGCACAGGTCAGCACCCAGACGTGAACAAGCTTTTCTTGGCCGATTCGGACGGCTCGCCGCTCGGCTTGCAGTGCATCGAGGGAGTTCCACCATGGCTGTAAAGTCTAGGTTAGCATATTCCCAGTATCAGTATTGTATGAAATCCACTTATCTCCACAAAGATAACCTGCGACGCTTCGTTGATGGTCAGCCCAGTTCCACCAGCCTTGGCTTGGAAGTCGATGGGCGTCGTCGCATGCGACACCGTCTGCCACTTGTGCAAGAGGTCATCCATCTCCTTTGTGCTCAAGACACCAGAGTAGATCGCAATATTAATGGATTGACGTCGGCGGAAGGCTTCGGTGATGATATTGAGAGCCTTGTAGAATCAACTCTAGATGATTATCTTCTCCTCGGGTGCTTTACCAAGATATCGTCATGAAGCTCCAGGAGCTTGTTGCATCGGGGCGTGAAAACGTCATAGTCGCTCATCTTGGCCACGCGATCGGGAAAAGTCTGGTGCTTTGTCCTCTTCTTGGTCTTGCCGGTCTCCTTTTCCTGAATGAATGGTGCAATTGCGGCCTGCTTACCCTTCCGCTCCTGCTCTTCTTCTTTTTCCTCGATGAATTCGGCTGCATCGTCGTCGGCTACATCGGTCATTTTCACTTGGTCGTGGACTTCGCTGTGGGCTGAACCGGAACCTGTCGTCGCCAGCAGGGCCAGCTTCTCGAATCCCGTCCCCGTAAGCCAGATCATCATTTGCTGAGAGAACCTTGCGCTTTGTGTGTCTGTCTCGTCAATGTCGGCCCAACCTGGGAGACATTTAGCCTCATTGCTGTCTTCTTCTCCGAGCTCCATGGCTTTGATCTTGGCGGCGACTACCGCTTCGACAAACATGTTGCGGGCGTTCTTCAGATCGATAGGTCTTTTGTGCGTTGCTGCCTTTTGCTTCTCGGTATATTCCGCGAGAACAGGGAAGCCTGATTCCTGCTCCATCCTCGTACAAAAGCCCATGGCGGACTGCAGATCCTTCTCGTCGACCGCGAGCTCTTTCTTATTCTTGCCCTTCTCCCTGCTCCTCTTCTTCTCTTTCGACGGTGTCTTACCCACCTTTTGTTCATGTTTTCACTCTTCTTCTTCTTCCTGCTATTAACAGAACTCAGCGACATCATCTATCACTCCATCATTGGATGACAGAACACTTCGCTTACCGCCTACATGTAAGCCACTACGCGTAATCGTGCATCCCGTGTCCCTGTTCAGAGGACACACTGCTATGTATACTTCCCTTTAGTCAAGGATAGAATGCCGCGTATGCCGCAATAGCTACCTTGATAACACCCTTATGAGGACGCTGACCACTTTGTCGACTTCCAAAGGCCTGATATTGGTAGTTTCATCAACGTGCGTGGGATTGTAGGTGCTAGCATGAAGTATGGGTTCCTTGCGAGATGCAGTTTCCAGCAGTCGTGAAAAATTTCCAAGTGCATGCTTCGCTCTGGGCCATATGAGTTCACCATGTGCTTTCTGGTAGTATCGTAGAGAACTAACGGCATAAATCGCTGTGCTCTGCCGCATGCAACCGTCAAGTGGTTAAGTATCTTTTCGGATTAGATAGCCCTCATGCCATCGTTAATCTCCGTGTCATAATGCTCCTCTGCGAGCTCATTTGAAAGGAGGTGGTTGCTCATCGCGATGGTCCTCGAACCACCGTCGAATGTTACTGGTGAACTTTTCCAGCAGTATCGTGAAGTCGCGAATCCTCGGCGCGAAGATCAACGCTAATCTCGAAATGCCCATTAGCGGCTTGGTCGCTTACTACGTCACAGCCTTGATCTCCCACGCGTCACCCCGCCTCCAGCTTATCAATCACTGCCATTCCAGCCGGACCGACTCCGCTCGACGAGCACCACCATGGCCACGTCGAAACCGTTCCCAGCGCTAAGTGGCGGCTGCGTCTGCAACACCATCCGCTACAGGCTCCTTACAGCACCGCTCTACTGCTATGCCTGCCATTGTATGGACTGCCAGAAACAGACTGGTAGCGCCTTCTACCTTAGCCTGAACATTGAACTATACAACATCCAGATCCTATCTCCGACGAAGCCTTCGTTCCTGAGCCGAGAGGTTAAACCGGGCCTTGTCGATCGGTATGCCGAGTGTCCGCAATGTCATGTCCAGCTTTGGGCTAGTAACCACCTGGGTGAGGCAGTCGTTGAGCTGAGAGTTGGCACGCTGGACTTCCCGTCGCTCATGGAGCCGGATATACACATTCACGTGGAGAGTAAGCTGGATTGGGTCACTTTGCCTGAGGGCGCGAAGACGGCGCAAAGAGGCCATGATTACAAGAAGTCGTGGCCCAAGAGTAGTCTCAAGAGGTTGGATGCTTGTTTGAAGCGAGCGGAGGAAGTTAAGAAGAGGAGGGCTGCTGCGATGAAGGAGATTGCCCATGGAACGAGTGAAGACGAGGAGACTAAAGATGGGGTCGTGGCGGTGGAGGGAAGTGGAGAGGGTGACAAGACGCCTACCGCGGGTGATGTTGGGGGCGATGATGATGACGAGGCTGAGGAGCAGAGATTCAGAGAGACTGAGAAGGCGTTGCTAGAGCGGTTGGAGCGGTTGAGTCTCAAGCTGCAGAATGAGGAAGGAACGAAAAAGGTGGTGGAGACGTGTCTTGAGGACTTGAAGAAAAGCCCATAACACGGTGCATTGAGCACGTCACGCGCGCCTCGTTTCCCTGGATGATTTCACTAGCCTGGCATATATGTACTGTACTTACGCCAATGCGCTCTTTCTCCGCCCCGGTTGTGCTTGCCTCAGTCGAGAAGCACGTGCGCTTAAGTCATGGTCATACCGTGCAACATTCCTGTGAATTGTCGCACACCTATGAACACTCAAAGCGTTCCCGAATTTTGATAACGGCAGGGGTGCGCCAGAGATCTTCAGGCAGCTAGGGGAGTTTTCCGGACAACGACAACAGGCTCTGGTCATGGCAAACTGTAGGTCACGGCTGGATATTGCGACTTCATTTAGCCAGAGACACTACAATCGTAAGTCTATGGGATTATGTGCCTACTACATGGACATTTGTCTTACTTCTTTATCCTCACGACTTCCGCTGTAGGCGGCAAAGACAGGGAAACTAGGATTTCTTGAGCACATAGGATGAGAGCGCTTTATTGACTGACTCCTAAGTTGTGTCGTGAAATCGGTAAGTGAAGGAATGTGGGGGCTAACATCTATAATCCGCACGGCCTTAAATGAAGAAAGAGCACGCCTTTGACTCCGACTAGGGCACGGCCTTGTTCCGCGATATATACCCAACGACCCCTCCCCCGATTTATTAGCTATTCCTCAACGCCTGTCGTAACCTACCCCAACACCAGATCGAGAAAATGCAGCACTCTACCGTACTGCTCCTCTTCTTATTCGGCCTCCTGGCGTCCCTGGGCCAGGTATGCAGTGCCCAAAATGGGGGTATTGAGATCACCCCCATATTCAAGGGCGTGGCATGGGATGCCGAGAAAGAGCACGTCGTGCGTCAAGCGCTTGCAGATGCGGTGCGTAAATCCCCAGTATCAATTACATGTGAGCTATTGACTGATCCTGCAACCCCAATTCTAGGTACTCCTCGCCAATGCGGCTTTTGACGACAGCGATAATCTCCTTTCGAAAACTGGCAGCAACAACAAAATCATAAACTTCGAGTCTGAAGCCGCAATCGAATATTGGGGTCCGCCCAGCAAGACCCTTGGACTTAGACAGCGCATTTACGATACCTACTATCGCGCCACTCAGAAGTCAAGGGGAAGTGGATGGGTTGATTGGTGGAACGGGCGATACATCGAAATGTACCGCGATGAAAAAGGGGCCCAATGTAAGGGAGTTGATACTGCATACTGGTGGCCCCCAACACAGGGCGATAGTAGCAGAAAATACGACGCCATCATTTGGTGTGACCCATTCTTCACCGTCCTCGATGATCACACAACGGTAGAGAAGCGGATACTGGCGGATACGACTGGCAAGTTTAAGCTCAATACAAGAAATATGCGAAGCACAGGTAGGTTATCTCCGGAAATTCTTCCCATATTACACACGCTGACTTTCGAATGTAGCAACCACCGCTCTCCATCAACTGCTGCATATCGGGCTCTCGAATGTGGAGATCTGCGAAGGCGGATGTGAGTGTGCTGCGTAAAATCATCAGATTCTACGTGAGACTGACATGATCCAGGCCGCGACTCCACGCAAATGATCGGCGATACCACGCCCATCCCGTCGTATAAGACCGGTCTTGCGAAGCTTCTAGCGGCGAGGGACGTCCAAAGCGCTGCACAAAACAACGATAACTACGTTTATTTCGCTGTCGCACGGTACATGCAAAAGAAGTTTGGGGTATACCCACCCTATCCACGCATGTGGAGTGTGAGTAGAACGAAAAAAGAGAATTGGGCGATTGAAGACATGGAACCGGGAGCCCCTGGCCGCATTTATTTGGTGCTTGACTGGAAAGAAGATTCTCATTACGACCGCTTTAGCGAAAACACAGTCTCGGATGCGCCTTACATGATGTCAATCTACCCAGAATGGTACCCGCCCATCAGCTGGCCGGTGGACGGATCGGCAATCCCGTCTGCAGTGGGCAAGCTCGCCTTCTCCCACCCCAACATAGACGACGTTGTATGCCAGACGACCACCGAGTCCGCAAACTACAGCGATTGTGTATCCGCCTTTGCAACGCTAGAAGGTCTCGGCCAAAATGCGGTGAAGGCCCACATCGGCGATAGGTGGTGGGCGAGCGTGGCCTCGACATGTGCGGTTCAAGTCCACTATAAGGGCGACTGGTCGAAGTGTGAGGCTACGCTCTCGGATATCTGGGCCCACGCCAAAGATGTCTTCGAGGGGTGCCGTGGCGCCGGAACGATGGGTGGTTACGTTCCGTTTGGTGTGCCGAATTGTCCTGCGACGATCGATATCGTGTCTAGTAGTCAGTGGAGCAACCCAAATCAGGCTTAGACGGTCATATAGCGGGTCGAAGGTACTGGCAAGACGGTCATGGCGTCGGGATAACCGATGGTCATATACATAGTCGCGAATGTAGGAACAGATTGTCGCAGAGAAGATGTTGATGGTACGCGTGTGGTTCCTGGAAGATAAGGAAGGCGGCTGCCCGACGTCATAGGGGCTCGCGCTTTCCAAATGCTTGGCGCTAGCGCCGCAACGCCAACGGCTGGGCAGGGCCGACCTCATCAACACTCGCGTCATCCTTCTGACTTGCGCCTACACGCCGTCCCTGCTCACGCCCATTCTCGATCTTCCCACCAGAATGACTGTAGTATGCCTCTCACTGTTGCGCTCGATGACGCGCGCCTCGATCGAATAACGCGCGCTTGCCAGTACAGCCATGACCGGTACGTCTGACGAAGGCGGGCCCGTGTCATGATCAAGCCGTGCGAACCTGTCGCGTCCAAGCAGGAATGCTACAATCATTGACTCATTATCGCGCGCGGTATAAGCCCTGGACACGTATCTGCGCGACGCGCTGAAGCTGCAGCTGGACCGGCCACTACACTTCACACGGCGAGATTATCTGCTTTCTGATAACCTGCACAACCCTAGGACGGCGAGAACCTTTGACGATAGCGACCAGACTCGTCGATTTGGTTATCACGTCGCGATAGACAGTTCTCCCTGGCGATTGCGAGGACACGAGGCCGACTCAAATCTTGTTGTGAATCACAAGTGTTACTGATGATTTTAGCTCCCAGTCATTCACATTGCGGTCTTGAACCGGAGAAGCTGGAGAAGAGGGGTGTGAAGCTGGAGTGGTTTTCATTGGTATGAGTTCAACGCCAGGACCGTTGCCCTAGCTGGCGAGGCGGTAAACAAGTCACTAATATATTTACACCCTCCATGCTACCAATTGGCTAATAAGATAAGACAAGCGATTATTACGGTAACATCAAACTGCTATGGCCTAACTGTATGAGTTGATGCTAATGATCATAGCATGCCCAGGCGTCATACAGAATACTTGCGCTTCTACGCCAACCCTTTCAATGCACCGTCTATTTGGAACAGCCCTGGAACTCACTTACCAAGACCGAAGGCGCTCCTTCACCCATACTTAGTACATATACATATACCGTTGCTTGCAACGGCAACTTAATGAATTCAGAGCTACAAGACCAAAGCCAGGTAATCATTTTGGAGGCCTCATTCCATTGCCAAAGATAGCCAGGTAAAGGTGAAGGCAGAGGTGACCTTGCATTTGCTGTGGCAGCTGCTAGCGGGGACGCTAGGGTGTATATAAGCACTCACTCTAACACTGGATTGCTCTCCATCCTCCTACAACACTCACGTCGCAGAGACCTCAGCACAATATGGAGCCCGTATCCCACTCTCCATACCGCTATGCATTCAATTCCGCTCTCATCGGTATCGAAGCACCAATCCTCGCAGATCACACATTGCTCTGCGTAGAGAACTGGAGCAACGCAGGAAGCACCAGCCGGCGGGTAGATGACGTGGTCGAGACCACCCAAGAAGAAGAGGATATTGGCAACAACCTCCCATGCAACGATCTATGTCTCTGGGTTGGAGTTCGACCAGCTAGGGCCGATGTGCTGCGCCAACAAGCTTCCAAGCCTGTTGGTGACGACACCGAGACGCAGACGGCTCTCGACAACCTCAAAGCCATCAAGATCAAGAGAGGCTCATCAGTTGGCTCAGTTCTCAAGCTTGACAACATTCCAGTCTGGCCGCTGAAGGATGGCATGACACGAGTAGTGGTCCGGTATAACCTCAAGCGCGCCGACCGTCTGCAGTATTACGAACTGATCAACCGCCATCCAGTGACCAAGGTAAGTTCACCCCCCTCAATACAGACTGTAATAGACGGTGCAATCGATCCAATCGCTCACTCCCACCAGCTATCTTACCCAGTTCCCATCAAAGCCCAGGACGTTTTCTTCTTTCGCCTTTATCGAGACGATGACATATCTGCATCGACCGGTCGTCAGAAGGGCTGGACTCAGAACATCAAGACATATCTCACCGATTATTTCGACGAGCGTCTCAATGAAGGGGGCATGCGGCCAAACAGAAAAAGGCAGGAGCTCACTGGAAAGGAGTCCCCGCCCAGGAAGAAGATGCGCTTTGGCGCGTTGGACTCCTATTAAACTTCCAGCCTGCAAAAAGAATGTCAGACGCACGCAGTGAGGGCTTGCAGACAGCTAGTCAGTTCATAAAGCGGTGGGGAAGAAGCTGATGAGGAGTTTTGATTTGCGATGGCTACATGAGGGTAGGTGGAAGTTTGAATGCTCAATGCAGGCTGTATTCAGCTATGTCCAGAAGGCGGAAAGTTAAGGCTGGCTGAGACATTCACCAAGTTACATGATGATGATGATGAATAAAAATTCTTTCAATGCTCTACCACGCTTTCATGTTTGCACCGTGTAATTCCTCTAAGCTCTGCTAATGTGTCTTTCTCGCAACGCGAATGTGTATTGGTGTCGTGGAATCACTTACAAACGACGACAAGCAGCATCTTCACTCTCGAAACCACTTCTATCGTTATAAGGTCGCTAACAGCTAGTTGACATATATACGAAAATGAACGACGGAAACGGCTCTTGTTAGAAGATGTCCTTGTTCTGGGTATTCTTCGGATGGTTGAACATCCGATCTACACTAGGAACCCTTGTGCACCGGCACGATACGCTACTCTTGAGCTCTCTGCTTTATTGTAATCGACGAAGATCCATGCCTTACACTGCTGACAGTAACGACAACGTCTCCAGACCTACTGCCAGAACGTATCACTGCTAAGGCTCGCCCTCGCCATGTTCTATGAACATTGCCGTTGAAGGAATCCAGATTCTTATAGTACGCAGATCCAAGCGCTGCCAGAGTGGCATCTCCATGTACCTCGACGGTAAGGGTATCGTCGTCGTTCATCTCGATGTTTCCCTCCTGATCAGCGAGTTGAAGTTCAAGGTACGCTAGGTCTTGTCTGTCTGCGACAAGTTCACCAGACTTCTCGTTGACAATCTTAACTGAAGCAACGTCAGCGGAGCGGAGCGTGGCGCGCGAACGCTCCTGTCCACCAGAGTATGCAACAGCAAGAAGCTCGCCAGGTTCGTAAGCTGTCGAAAATCTAGCGGTGTATCTGTTGGCTTGGTTGCTACTTGCGCGCCCAAGCGAGCGGCCATTCAGGAAAAGTTCTGTTTCCTCTTCCTGAGTGATGACCTCAATATAAGCTTTCTGGCCCTCACAACCCTTCCAGCCCCAGCCCTCGATCGCATCGGAATCTCGCCAGGGCGTCGCCTTGTAATACAAGCTAGAGACGTCCAATGGACGTACCGCAATTACGGGTTGAGACAAGAGTTTCCAGCACGCTCGGGCTACGAAAGCCGAAGCATTGGGCACGCCAGTGATGTCTAGAGCGCCGCAACCCCCTACTAGATGTGGCCAAGGCTTATACAGTTTTATAGGGGTAAACCTGCTTGCCTCATAGTCGTGCACACCAATGCCTACCTCGCCAAGATAGTCCCATCCAGTCCACATGAAGTCTCCTATCAGGTTCGGAATCTTTTCAACGTTGGACCAGATCCTAGGAAGATCAGGTGGACAGGTTTCGGTACCGAGCATCATCCTTGAAGGTTGTAATTTGGCATCTGATTGGTACCGGATATCTCCATAATTGTAGCCCGCGACATCCATGTACGAATAGAGTCTGCTGGTCACAACATTGGTGTGATTGAACTTTGGGATGTACCGCATGAATGAGAGGAACATGCTGGCGATGATGTTGAAAAAGTTGCTAGACACCAAATCCCCCAGACCGCCTTTGTTATCTGCAGGAGGAGTATTTGGATCCCCCGGCGGGATTTTCGAAAACATCATCAGGGCCAGCGTAAGGTTGACCGCGATAGTGTTAGGTCGGGATGGATCCAGCTTGTGCGTGAGGTCCAGGAGCTTCTTCGCGATCGTGTGTCCGTAGGCGGTTTTAGGCTCAGTGATCTCGTTACCCAAGGAGTACATAATAACTGAAGGATGGTTACGAGCTCGTTCCACAAGAGAAGCGACTTCGTACTCCCAGCGTTCGTTGAAGGTGTTGGAATCGTCATGTTTAGACTTTGCCTGGTACCAGTAGTCGGCAAACTCATCCATGACGTACATGCCTACCTCATCGCATGCTTGTAGAAGAACTTCTGAGCATGGATGGTGCGACATACGAATAGCGTTGAAGCCATTCTTCTTCATGATCGACACGCGCCGCAGTTCCGCAGCTTTGAACGATGCTGCGCCGAGGATACCGTTGTCTGCGTGTATGCAACCACCACGCAACTTCACAGTCTGGCCATTGACCAGGAATCCATGACCAGGCTTCAACTGCAGAGTGCGCAGACCGTACTTGAACTTATAGAGATCGCCGTTGATGACGACAGTGCAGTCGTAGAGATTCGGAGTCTCAGCGGACCATAGATCTGGGTTCGATAACTCGAAGTTTTGTCTCAGCTCAGACGTTGTCGTTTTTGTTGTCCACTGGATCGCGTTCCTTCCTCCTCTCGAAAGCTCGAAAGATACTTCAACGTCATCCTTCTTTTCGTTGTTGAGTAAGACCTCGAATGTGAGAAGAGCAACTCCACTGGCGGAGAGCGTTGCCAGCCTGATCCCGTCCTTGCAAAGCAGATTGTGGTTTCGAACCATGAGATGAACGCTGCGATGAATTCCGGCTCCAGTGTACCAGCGCGCGTTAGGTTGTTCACTGTTGTCGGCATGTACTTCGATGGTGTTCCTCTCGCCGAGCTTCAGGTAAGAGTCTACGCGAACCTCAAACTTGGTCCAGCCCGCCAGACAACCGCCGACTTCTGTGCCGTTCACCAGCACGCGACTGTGCCGGTAAACACCATCAAAGCTCAAAGCGACCACTTTGGACTCCAGAGTAGTAGGCGCTTGCCATGTTTTGCGATACTTGTACATTCCGCCAAGATAAAATCCGCCATGAGTTC